TTCAACCAACCTTCCTCAAATTCTTTACAACTTAGTGTGTCATACACTAACCGATGTATAGCATAAAGTATTGACCCTTTTTCACTATGATAGCCGAACTTCTCGGGCAACTTCTTTAGAATATGCCACAAGCACCATCTATGCCTAGTTGTAGGGAACACTATTTCGATGGCATTTTGCATAGCTCGATCTTGATCTGTAATAATTCCATTAGGAGCTTGACCATACATGCACTCAAGCCATGTCCGAAATACCCGAACAAATGTATTTGTATCTTCGTTCGAGACTAGAGCACATCCAAATAAAGTTGACTGCCCATGGTGATTAACCCCTACAAAAGGAACGAAAGGCATATCGTACTTGTTCGTGAGGTACGTGGTGTCAAAAGTGACGACATCGCCAAATTCCTTATATGCTTCTCTACATCGATTATCTGCCCAAAACACATTTCTCAAGCGACACTTTTCATCCAAGTCCATGCAGAAGTAAAAACCTGGGCTACGTGCTTGCATTTTGGAGAAGTACGCTTGTATTGCAGCAGCGTCCCCTTCCCCGAGTCTTAAACGCCGCACTTTGTCTATGAAATTTCGGCAATCTTTCTCAATACATGTCATATACTCAAATCCACCTGCCTCCACTACAGCTGAGCTATAGCTTTTATGCACGGGTATTCCTGCTATATCATTTACCTCAAGCCGTCTTTTAATGCGTTCACTAACTTGTCGATTGCATCTATACAACCTAGATTTAGATGGGCTTGTTTTATGGTTATGCTCTAAATGAACAACATTTATACGCCATACTCCACAAACATCAGAACACGCAGTCAACCTGGCTTTACACCCTGTTTGAATTGTAGGTGGCGGCTTAAGAGATGTACTATTCTTACGGATTCGCCCACCTTCTCGACTACAAGCAAAACTCACATATCTTATCATCCCGTCTTCTCCCTTTGTTGAGTTTCTTTTTCTAACAGGAAAACCAATTTGATAAGCGTATCTCTTGTAGAATTCAAATATCTCGTTCACATCCGCAAATTTCATACCAACTTCAGGCACGATAATATCATTTTGTGTTCCTAACATTTCCCCAGCCACACCATCGTCACCCACAAGGTCAGAAGAGTTAACCTCCGTCCTGCAACGATTAAGATTACACATTATTGTTCCTAACATTGTATGCCAGAATTAACAAGGAGATGAAACCATAATATGAGGTTTTTCAAACCTGACTGGTGTTGAATATTTTTTGGGTAATCTGCATATGAAAATAGTTGTGTTTCAAACACCTTCATTATTGCAGTGCAGTGGGAAAAAATTACTCATTGTGGATAAATGTGTCTCAACCACCGTAACATTTCATACCGGGAAGAAGATGAAGGAAAAAAATAGCATACCATTTTCAATTACATATAACTGTCCAGTGAGATTTATTGTCAAAAGTTCATCCAAACCCAAATTGAAGAAAACTTAAAACTAAGAACACAGGAAATTTTCCGGCTTACCATTTGAGCCGTCATCGTCTCGCAGGACAATTTGACCGACATCCATATCGCATGAGGTGAAAAATTCAGCTCTTATACCGTCCATTTCATGTCACAAGCATTTGTCATGTGGGTTGGAGCATTTTACAACGACCGACGACGGCTTTGTGTCCAAATTGGTGGATTGTTTTTTGGTTTACTTCTGGAGTGTTGAGAATGGCGAAAATGGGTTTTCGTTCTAGAGTAGAGAAAAGGGGGGAAATGGAAGGAAACAGGGCTTTTGGTCCAAAAGAGAAGGATTTTTTGTTTTTTTTTTTTATACGAGTTATTGACTGAACTTGAGTTTCAAAATGTCGCCAGCTCAGCATTATGTGAACGGCTATGTTTATTATTATGTACGCCCAGACTTATCCGCTTTTGGATTAACCAAACACTCAACAACTTTTTAGTAACAACACTTCTTGAAAAAGATCTACACCCAACAACTGTCCCAAACGACCTCCAAGTCATGTTAATAGTTCTTTAAAAGTTCCCTGCACAAAGTTGGTTTAAATATTTCTTGAAGGTTGACTTGAAGTGGAAGCTACATAACTGCAATTAACATGTTCACGATGTTACAGTTGCTTTCTTAATGCTACAGCTTTCATTGTTAGAAAGTAAGGCTGTTGGTCTGCTATGCAGATGACTTGATCGTTGGTCCCCGCAACTTCGAGTGGATGGTGGAGGCTGATTGTCCTGTTGTTAGATTTTTGGCCCGTGCTCTGTTGTGCACCAATATTGAGACAAGCAAACGCTCTATTCTCTTAAACATCCCTAGTCACAAATCTTCTTATGGTATCATAAGATTTTTGTAAGATAGTTTCATTAATTGAAAAACTATGTTTCAGGTGGCTGATATAACATATTCATCACAACAACCTGCTGGGAGAAAGGTATGGATTATATTATAGCTCATTTGTAAAAATCAGAGCATCGGATTGAGCTGTAGTTCAGTTAGATACAATGTTAAGCGTACCAGAGGCTGGTCAGAGACTTTTCAGAAACTTGAATGAACATTGTTGATTCTGGAAGAATGATCTATTTTCCACCTCAAACCTGAAATAGCGAACGTGTAGTGGCTTACTCCTTGTTCCAATTTTACTTGATCATTAACTCCTAAATTCCTTTACTGCAACAAAATGTTCCTTCCAAATCTCTGAAGGGACTATTATTTTGAAAATATTTGATTTTCTACTGGAATGACTATTCAAAATGGAAAAGACAATGGATCAAATCTCTGCTAATAAACAGGAGAGACCAAGTATCACAGGCTCTAATTCAGGGAACAGAGAGCATTTCTTTTCTTTGGTCAAAGCGCATTTTCTCAAATAATGAGTTTTATTTCATGTCAATAAACAACATTCTATCTCAATCAACTGGGAGGTGGTGGTGTAACCAGTGGAGGTCTTTGCAAATTGATACCTTGCATTGCTTGGACAGCAGTTGCTGTTGGGGTGGATGGAATTTTTATGGAGGTATATAATTGACATTTTCTGGAAGACAGGATGTATTTTCATCTCTTATGTGAAAGAATAATGCTATTTATCATTATAATGATGAAATATCGGTGATGTGACAACTTAGGTGGAATAATGGGATAGGATGATAGTTCAATCCCCCCCTCTCTTGGAAATTAAACTGTTCTATCCCATTATTTCACTTAAATTGCCATATTATCGATGTTTCGTCATTATAATAATAAATAGCATTACTCTATGTGAAATCCGTTTTACAATCTCTCCTTCAAATTTTTTGATGAAACAATCTTCATAGAGCCTAGTGCTGTTATCTTTTGTACTTGTGGACACCATGTGCTCAATTTTTGTAATTTCTTCTCTCTATCAATAACTTCTTTTTCATATAAATATCTAATACTTAATAATTTGCTTGAAAAACTGTTTCCTGAGTTTGCTGATATGATGATGTTGTTGCTAGGTGCACAATGAACCTTTAAAAGCTCCAGTTGATGGTCCAACTGGGAAAGTTTCACGTGACTAAGAAACTTATTTCAGTATTGGTTCTCGAGTTCTTTGCATAATAAGCAGCTTTCTGTAGGGCATTAGTTAAGTGGTGGTCTTAGTTGGCTTTTACTGTTTATTTGTTTTATATAGCCTCTTCGACATTTGGAGGAACTGCTGGAAGAGCTCATAGCAATTGCTGTAAGTTTCTCTTCACCTGTTTCCGATAATGTTCTGTCGACGGCATGACTAACATTTTTCTTAAATAAGAAACAAGTGTGAGGCCCAGATAACACTTTCAAAAGCAACATGCATAAGCTAAAGAGATTCTCTTGACAAATCCATTAACAAGTAAACATCTGGATAATAAAATAATATGCCTTTCAAAATCCTAGTACCAAATCTTAATTTCCGGATCTAGGCTGGGTTAACTCTTATGCTGCAGTCTCTTTCTTAAGCTTTGCAAGCTCCTGCCTCACATCGCCAGCCTTCTTGACTTTTGCCAATATTAGTTTAAACCTATCAAAATCATTTAGAGAGGCTTTTCTCTTCTGCACAATCAGCTTCCTTCCCCAGAAACTGTTTTCCCACTTTCTTGACATCAGCAACAATAAGAGTCTTTTTTCTTCCGAACCTATTGATGTCCATCTTGATGTTGGTAAGAGAAAGCGTCTTAAAGTTCATTTGGCTCCTCACCATATGAGATGCATCCATGAGATCCGGGGTTTGGTCGATGACCTCAACAATGAAGGTAAACTGGTCATATTCTTTGTCGTTGTTGATGACAGTTACTTTTCCAATCTCGACATAACTCTTGAATGGCATTTTTGGGAAATTACTGTGAGCTGTGTGTGGGGAGAGGCGGAGTGAGGACGAGGGTGTAGTTTTACGACAGTATGATTAACATGAATCTATGGAGTTCACAACGAGAGGGCTATATTAGATTTGATTTTTTTCCATCTATGTTCAGAATCCTGAATATTGTGGCATAATGAGTTAAAACACAACTTAGCTGGTTTGGTATGTGAAGAAAAATAAGCACTGTGAGGAATAAATGGTGGTACTCTCCGCATATCCTACATCGAAAATGGCATTCGTGCTTTCTGCTACAATTGAAATTAGCCTTTTGTGTTTGGTGGAGTAGATGGCGGTTCTGCGTTCACTGTAGGCGGAACTTAGTTCATGTGGCTCATCTTTATCCAGCCATTTGGGAGTGGTAAATTTGTTGTGGATGATTGCATGGGAAACTGTTAAATGTGTATAGTGTTTAAAGATGTAGGTTCATCACTGTACCAAGGTACATGTACCAGCAGACAATCTGATGTAAAGATGTTATCAATACACAACCTCAGATTGTTGTATCGATTCAGAGGTTCTTACAACAAAGAATAAGACAATGTGTGGGTTAAAATTAGAATTTTTTAGGTATCGAGCTAGTCTTCATCCTCAGTACTCTTGCTTAGTGAGAACTTAAATAGAGTATGACCATTTATATAGTTTCTTGTCCATTTTTTTCTCTCGAGTTTATGCATTTGTTTGGATATGAGCCTTAGGTTTCATAAAAAGGTGCCACATAATTATTCCCCCTTGTCGCATTAATCTATTATGCAAGTCCACGGGCTGGAAACAAACCCTTCTACTTGTTGCAATGTTTTTCTCTTAGTCATATTGCGCTATTTGTTGCCGTCAAAATTGCTTTATCCCTATTTATGTATTTGTATTTGTAGAGGGTCAGCAAGGGGAAAGCTATGCTTTTAAATTGATCTCACTCCATTCAGTTCATGAGAATTCTGGAGCTTCTCATAGGTAATATTCTAAAAACTTGAGGCCCTGAACCATTTCTACAATTGATGTGTGTGTGTTGATAAGCAGGAATATGTGTATTTGAATAAACAATCATATTACTTCGACGTTAAGGTTTCTGAATTGCACTCATTTGATCAACACATTACTTCTGTGAGTTTATGGTCATTTTTTGCTCAGAAGACAGCTTGAATAAGTCTTTGAACGTGTACAAGTATAGATGCATCTTTGATAAATTTTGGTTAATCAACATCCATTTCTCAGTAAGAATGTAAATTTGATGATCCGGGAATCATACAATATAGCCTGAAATTCAGTTGTCCGCAAGTCATACTATATCCTATTAAGTTTTAAAACAGATCTGTGTATCTGTTATTTTCTTTGCTGCAGGACTGGACACTTGTGTATAGCGCCTCTTTAGAACTTTCTTCCAAAAATTTCTAATTCTTGAGAGTGCATGGTGTATATGAACCACCTATTATTATCTGGCTCTGGAGATATAGGAGTGATTTTATCCTCTTCGTGCGCGAGTTGCAACGAGGAATATAGATATTTCAGGGGAGTAAGATGTAGGAACTTGTATGCCTTCGTTTAACTGTAGAATTGTATTTTTGGCTAGACGCCTGGGTATCAAAATGAGAATGTGCTAGAAATTGGGTTAATTTCACTCATGGCCATTGAAGTTTGCACTTGGTGTAACTTTAGCCACTGAAATTTAATTTCCCATCATTGAATTTTAGAAAATATTCATTGGAACCTCTGACTTAATATTTTAACTAAACATTCTACGTATTTGTGTGTAGTCATGAAAGGATTGAATTTCTGGGAACATGAATATGTGGAATTTTCAATTATGAGTCTGAAATAAGATGAAGTTCAATGACCAATTTGACAAAAAAAAATGTAAACTTCAATGGTCATTGGCAAAATTAACCCACTAGAAATTTGTCCGAGGAAGAAGGGCTCTTGAGAGAATATCCTCCGACAAAATATGTAGAAAGTGAAAGAACTACCTTTTTTTCCTACAAATCGTAACTGCGATAAGAAACAAGACAGATTTGTCCTGAGATTAGATGTGAAGATTATTTGCGATTTTCAATAAAAAGTTTACTGGTAAAGTGAGACAAGGTAATTACTTTTGAGAGTATGAATAGATCTACTAAATGGTATTCATGTCTTCTATTGAAATTGACGTTAGGAATTTCTAGTTAGCGTGGGATTAATTAGAAAATTGTATGGGTGTTTTTCGTATATAAGATGATTTGTTTGAAACATATATATAGAAAATTATTGTGTGTAACTATTAAAATAAGTGTTTTATTTTTAAATAATGTATTTAAGTACGTTGGAAAAAAATTACCTAATACTACTAGTGTTAGTGATTTATTTTACAATATTATATTTGAGAATTTTATGTAATAAAAAATTACTAATATTAGTTGTAAGCTAATATTTGAGTCACATTAAAATTTTCATTCTCATTTTTCTACTTATTTTTAATCACACATTTTTCAATAAAATAATATTTTTTCATCACATCAATAATTTTTCATTCTTTTTCAATTGCATATTTATCACCATATCATAAAAAAATACATTCCTTTATTTTAATGTGCATCAAAAAACAAAAATGCTCTAAAAAGGCCATTTTATTCCGAACCCTTTCCATGATACTGGACAAGAAAATGATTGGCATCCTGGCATGTCCAAAACCACTCAAAACTCACTTTAACAAATAAAAATCAAATTCAAAACCATAACTCTTCTATAGCCAAAAATTGAACAAGAAAAAAACTATGGCCTATATTCTGCCAAATCTTTCTCCAAATCTGCTCCTGTCTAAAGAAAAATACCAGGCCATTGTTTTTCACCAACAATCTTCTTCTCCTCCTCTTATTTCTCCATCCTTGGCGTCAAGTTCTTCTGTTAATGATCAGACAAAGCTTGAGCCGCCTCGGGGTCTAGCACAGGTGAACCGGATACCAAGTGCTCAGGGTAAGAACCAGAAGGATGAATTTTATGTTAACCTGGGTTTAGCTGTACGAACCCTTCGCGAAGACCTTCCTTTAATCTTCAACAAAGACCTTAATTATGACGTTTACAGGTACCCTTTTGGTTATTTTGTTCATTTATGCTTATGGGTATTTGAATTTTGTAGTTTTCGATTGTTTGAGATTGAGATAACTTTTTTCTATTTAATTAATTGGCAGGGATGATATAACGTTTGTGGATCCTTTGAACACGTTTACTGGAATTGAAAATTACAAATTGATATTCTGGGCATTGAGATTTCACGGCAGAATTTTATTTAGAGAGATTTCATTAGATGTCCTTAGAATTTGGCAGCCTTCTGAGAACTTAATACTCACAAGATGGAACTTGGAGGGCGTCCCTCGGGTACCCTGGGAGACAAAGGGACAGTTTCAAGGCACATCGCGATATAAATTGGATAGGAATGGGAAAATTTACGAGCACAAGATTGATAATCTGGCATTTAATTTCCCACAGCCATTGAAACCTGCAGCTTCAGTTTTGGATATGGTTGCTGCTTGTCCAGCTAGTCCAAATCCAACATTTTTATGGGGTCCAGTGGACGTGCATTCGTCGTCTTGGGTGGAATTTTATAGGGCTGTGAAGGAGACGTTGGATCGCCAAGGATCGTCGATTTCTCAAGATTGCTTAGCTAATTGTTAATATTAAGACAGGTTAGCTACTAATGGTTTTTCTTTATATACATTAGAAGATATGTTACTAGAATTATAATTGTTAGTTGCATGTTTATTGATGACTTTTGAAAGTATAAATAAAGTTTGGATGGAAAGGAAAATATGGGTGTATCAAGGTATAGAATTACATATCGAATAAAGATGAAAACATTGACCAATTTATAAAGATTTGGACTATTTTTCTTTAAAAAGTTGACATTTTAAAATAGAATCCTAAATCTTAAAAGTATATAAATAGATATGATGAAAATCTATAGAGCTCGTCAACAAAGTAATCTGTTACTGATTCACGACGCTTCTATTCTGAAACAATCTCTTTTTTGTACTCTTTTCAATAATGCAATTCACCACTACGTGTGCTTAGTACATTATATACGAATGTAATGCACGTTTATGCATTAAACAATGTGGCATTGACCCTATTTCCGAACAACACTACTCTTCCATTTTGTGCTAGGATCATACTACATGTACAGAATTTTTTTATCGAATCTTTTATCGACTACTCACAATGGGAATAGGGACCACAATGTCGAAATTTTTAAATATACGTGAGCTCCTAAACCATTATGTACAAATAGATTTACCCTTTGTGCTATTCTAGTCCGACTCCCATTCTTGATGTCTTAAAACCCTGTTACCCTGCTTAGTATTAAGATTTTGGGATATGCTACAAGTACAGGATTTTAAAAATCCTGTACTTACACACCACACACAATAGCGGGGTGGGTGGGGGAGTTTTGGCAATTTTTTTTATTCTAAGATTTTAACTTCATTTGACTTTAACATCATTCAATTCATTGTACCAAACATATTACAAATGTTAAAACATTTATCTTCGTCCTTCAAGCTTTACAGGTAATACGGAGGTGCAATTTGCATTCCTTTGTGTTCCAAGATTTGATGTTTATATATTTACGTCTCTTTACAATGGTACTCTATTGAGGAATAATCTTCACGTAATCATGAAGAAATTTGGTCCCAACAGCAGTTATTTACTATACATTGTAATAATTATATTTTTAAATAATAAGTTAAAACATAAGTATTGAAATGAATAAATTCTATATTGGTGAAGATAAAAGAGAATAGATAGATTAAAGTAACATATCGTTCAAAAACATTATTTTTCATAAAATTTATTCTCAAAAATCTCGTCAAATAAGCCCTTAAATTTGTTTCATCGCAGTAAAATATAAACACGTACAAAAACTATTTTTTATTAAAAAAAGTAATTACCAAAATATATAATAGCATTGTTCATTCATTAATAATATTATTTATTTTTCTGATAATTTACTTTATTCAAAAAACAAGTAAAAAATGAGCAATTTTATTTTAAAAAATAATAGAATTCAGTAAAAAAAATGAGCCAACCTGCTCGTAGCCACAAGCCTGAATGAGCCAACTTGTGAGCCTCAAGACTCAGCTAGTAAAAAACAATTTAAGCTTAGCTCGAATCTCGATCCATGACTCGTTGCAAAATGAGCCCCCAATTGTTCAAATCGGGACGAATCAAATCGAGCCCGTGAGCCGCCCAACCTATTAAAGTTAATGAAACTTGTGATTAAAAAATTGTAATCTAATTATTAGATTTGACTTATATTTTAATTTGATTTTTAACTTAATCAAGGGATAGAGGAAAAAGGATTTCAGAATATAAAGTTTCAAAGTCTAAATCAAATTCATCATCCTCAACAACAAAATGTGCGTACATCTGAATGCACAAGCTCCAATAAAAGAGGCAAATGCCAGAATCTCAGAACCTAATTGTTTTTGGCAACGTACAGCGCTGAAAACACCATTAATAATGTAGTGCATCAGTGACTCTAAATTGTTGCCTTAATTCACATAATTTAAAGAAACAAATACACCGAGAAAATTAACTAAAAAATTCAACGAAGGCTCAGAGATTAAAATGAATTAAGCATCAAGAAGCTCAAGAGCTTTCATAGTTTGATGGTATTATTTTCATCATCACAGCCTCTTTCAGAACAATAAAAATATTAAAATAGAATAAAAATTGAAGGGAGAGACCTCAGAAAATACAGGCGAATTCACATCAAAGGATACTTGATAAAGATCCTCAGATGGTACGGACAATTTTATGCATCATTGGCCTCCATTCACTGAATTTCGTTAAGAACATAATACTATGTGTTTCGATGCGTGATCGTGTGACTCTGTGTCATCGATTCTGTGTGCGAACCCTAACTTAGCCACAATTGGGAGAGCAGATAACTAGTTTGAAGATACACAGGGTATATATAGTGGAGCACACGGAAAACCCTAATTTAGCCATGCCATTTTAATTACCAAAAAGTCCTCACACTTTGCTAGCGGCTGCCATTCATTATAGGTACATCGAGACGTGTTAATGGTAAAATTAAAATCTTGATAAAATCTAAGCTAAAATTAACAATTAAATATATAATAGGATTTACAATTTTTTAATCATATATTTTGTCAACTTTTATTTAGCCCTTGCTTGTGATAATACAATTAGTATGGACGATCGTCATATCCCGTCTCGTCTCGTCCCATCCCATTCCACTCCAAATGGGGAGGAGAATCACCACCTATGGTAATCGAGGCTAGGACGGGAATATGTTTCAAACTTCGAATTTTCTGAACCCGTCTCGAATTTATTTTATTTTATTTTTATAATTTTAATATAAAATAAATTTTAAAAATTTAATTAATTATTAAATGGGAAAGTAAATAGAGATATTTTAATCCCCATTGTGTCCCGCCCTGCCTTCGAAAATCTCCTACCGAAAGGAGCCGTGCCCTACCCCTCCATGTCCATCCTAGCAATGAGGTCGATCGTATTCTTATACGAGCCACCATTTTGTAGTAGCATTGACATATTAATAAAAGTAAACTTTCACGTCATTAAAATTTGAAAATAATAATGAATATCTAAGTCTTGATCACTTTAAAAATTGACGTTTTGAAATGAAATTAAGACTTCAAAATGTACAAATTCAAGGTCAATGCATACTATGTTACGACGACGTAGGAGATTAATGTATTTATATTCACTTACACCTTCCACTCCATTCAACGGAACAAAGATAAAACTGTTTAATTTTTTAAAAATAAGTTTTATACGTTAGATAAAACACGATAATAAGCAAACCTCCCCCCTGTATCATCTCTACCAAACATATCATCCAACAATTATTGTAAAGTGTAATACTAGGTAAAACATTGTGTCACACTCCCTTTTATGAATACGTGTTCAAGTCGAGCCTAAATGCAATTCACTTCTATAAATCTTTGGGCACGAGGTAACAAATCACACCCTATTGAATCGATCATTTGGTTTTATGATTGTGTTCTGGCCTATGAATAGACTCAAAGTCTGTGTGCACGAAAGCTCGCTCGACTTCAGGTAACTGTTCCAACTTTTCTTGTAGCGTCTCACCAATGTTGTGTGCTTTAGCAAGAGGCATATCTCCCGGCAAAACTACGTCAATCTCCACAAAGTATTGAGAACCAAAAGTGTATGCTCTAACTGTGGCAATGTGTTTGATTTCTTTGTGATGATTCCAAACTAGATAAAGCAGCTTTGTTATATAGTCTGCAGGTGCTGTTCTTCCAATCAATGCCTTGACATTTTCCATCACCGTTCTTGCCCATGTCCCCATTGTGTATAAGGCAATCTGCAATCAAACTCAAAACGCTCAGATGATTTTCAAGAAGAAACATGTTTGGAACACTGGATTAGTGGGGTAAATGGTTTGCATTAGGCCCCTCCAGTTGAAGAGAAGTCCGGTATGACCTAGTCCTAGGCCGGCTGGCCTAGGACTGTCCTGAAGGGGGACGGGAGTCAATGGAGGGCCAACAACTTGAAATATGGCCTATAACAAGACATGCCAGGTCGGATGGTGGGGGTGATGCAGTCCAATTCAATGTGAACTATTCGAGTCGTAGGAAAAACTTACCAGTATGGCTCCAAGAGGATCGATCCACCAATAAAATCGAATGGCTAAGACCGCTGTTGCTAAACCAATAGAGTTAGTAATAACATCGAAGAAATGGTCCTGCGCATAAGCTCTAACAATTTCATTCTTGAACTGCCGGCAGTAAACCATGAGGACAAACTTCACTACAGTGACTGAAACCATGATCCCTATCATCCATTTCTCTTTTTCTGGATCTCGTTCAGGCTGAGACTGCATAGATTTTGTGTTCAAGGGGATTTAGTGACGAAAAATTAAAAATTATGTGAAGTATTGATTCATGTCATATACATTGTTTTAGACAGAATGTTGCAGAATCAAAATTGGTTTACCTTTATAATGAGTTCTCGACCAGATTCGAACAATATTTGTAGTCCAAGGGTTGCCATTACAGATGCAAAAATAACTATGCCCTGTAAAATTCAGCATAACTTGAATTGATATTCTCTCTAGGAAGTTTTCAATTTTCTACAAATATTTTTAAGAGAAGAACTGGTTCGTCATCAAGAACAAAAATAATGGATACAATTCACCGGTAAAGAACTTATAGTGAAAATTCACCAAGATCCATAGACTATTCTCGTCTCAACTGTTAATCCCTAACGATATGCTTATTGCTGATGTGATCATCGTGAAAATATTTGGACCGAGTTTTAGAATGCTTACGACTGGTTGCATTCGATTCTTGCCAATGGGATATCTATACAGGTTAGGTTTCTTCATAGCATAAGCCGTAAACCACAATATAAATCCAGATAAGAGGTCCAAAAGTGAGTCCAATGTGGATGCAATGACTGCCAATGATCTGCTCTCTACAGAAGCATAAACTTTGGCTATAAAAAGCACAAGATTAGCTATGTTTGATGCATATATTGCCATCCTCTCTCTTCTAGCAACCTGTTTCCTTTCATCCTGCAACAAAATGTAAAAAAGTTGTTGAGAATTGAGCAAAATGTAAAGCCAAATTTGAGTGATTTGTTGGCAGTGACAAACCTCTGTGAGACTCCCAGGCAAGCAGCCCAATTCAGTGAATGCATCAACCTCATTGAAATCTTGAAGAAGCTTTTCCTGGGCCTTGTAATATTTTGCAATTTTCCTCTGCTTTGCTACAGTGAAAAAGGGGAACTCGTTACTCAATAGAGGTGTTAAAATGTGTTAAGCCACCAAAGTATAGACCGGTCCGACATGTAAATATGTACATAATTGCCCATAACCAAAGAAAACTCGATTCTTAATTCTTATGTATGATGGCAACAAAGTAACTAGTTGTTTGCTATAAACTCACTCAGAAGGCTTACTTATGGTGCGAATAAATTTCCCAATGCCAATGTGCGAATCAGTAGTCTTTTCCGACAGACGATGTTCATCGAAATTAAGGCGCCATGATGGCCCTCTTGTTACTGTCCCATTCTCTGCTGCTGGTGAAAGAAGTTCTATTCTGTAATCCGATGAATCTGTGCGCAACTCTGTTGCCATTTTGCTCCAAGAAAATGCTGACACTTTCTATCCTTCTTAGACAAGACGGATCCATATATAGAGAAAGAGAGATGATTATTTAATGAAAGAAAGCATGGAAAATGCTGATCGTTGAAGTATTAAGGACGTTAGGTAGAACGTAAATTAAGAAATTAATGTGTGGAACTTGTTTGTTTAATATTTGATTTAAAATCAAACTTATAGTAGGGAAAGAATCTGATATAGGGAACCTTTTTCAGATTTCACCCAATCCACACGAACTTTCGAAGCAACATTCTCCATGCGTTTATATCACAACGTTTGTTAGGGAAAAAAAATTATAAATATATTTTAATTAAGGGTTGTTCACCTAATTCGTGGAATATCAAAAGGTTCAATGAATTAGTAATTACACAGGGAGCCAGCAAGGCCTGACCCGGGTCGTGCGATCACAATACTTGGCAGTTGGCACTATGATATGCACTTCAATGAGGATAGTTACGATTTTTTCCTAAATAAAATTAAGGGTTTTAAATTTTTAATATTAATATATTTATTAAAATATAAAATTATTAACCTAATAACTGAATTATGACTAAAAAACTTTAGCATCTGACCTTTGCACTGTGAGCTTTAAACACCTGATATTTTATAATTTCCCCGTTTAAAAACCAATAAAAATTTAACGAATTTTCACAAAAATTATTAAAGCCCCCATTTGACCTCCATTTTTGGAAATTTTTTTGTAAAGAATCATTTTTTTTTCTTTGAAAATTTTTAAATTTATATGCAATATTATTTTATTGGATGATGAAAAATAAATTTGGCAAAGAAAATTTTTAAAAATAAAACAAAAATATAGACTTATTTGCCCGTGTTTGGTGGAAATTAAAATCCAAATTTTAATTTAAGTTAAAGTCAACGATTAATTTTAATCACACATTTCATGTGATCCACAACTTTTTAACCACATATTTCATTAGTTTTTATCAAAATTTACTAAAAATCTAATTTTAATCACCACCAAACAAGGCTAAATTCCCTCTTACTTAGTCTTTCAAAACCAAATGAATAATCCGGAAGGTGAAGTATAATTACACTTTCATTTTCAGACTTTGAGCTTGCTCTTCAATGGTCACCAGTTCGAGTCCCCTAGAGTTATTGAGATGCGTATTCGACTGTAAACCTCATGGCCTTGTGGGATTAGTTTAGGTGCGCACAAGTTGACCTGAACATCTACGATTGTAAAAAATAATAATTACACTCCATTCAAGTCTTGTTTTGTAGAAGTTTTCTACTTCTCTGGTGCGAACTTAACACAAAATTAACATTTGAAAATTATCACTCATAACTTGTAATGTTTAATTATGAATTAATATTTCTAATTAAAAGTGCTCAGAGCTCGTTTGAGCCCCATTTTTTATGAAAATGCATTTTGATATAATATTTTGATAGAGAATATATAGTAAAAAAATAAAGAAATTTTTTTAAATTTGCATTTAATATTATTTTATTAAAAAATTAATTATTTAAAATAAGAGAAAGAAAAATACATTTTAAAAATAATAGACAACACGAAGTCTTCCTCTTCCTTTGGAGTTATAATGTTGTGCAAAGTGTAGGGAATTATTGAGAGCAATTACCTAAGGCCCAAGCCCACACCACCAAGCTCAAGTGAGGTTCAAACCCAAAACCAATAGGCAATGGGTGGAGTAGCCCACTTGG